TAATAGAATTTAATTTAAAAAAATTAAAAATCAGACAAACGAAACTGACCAGGAAATAACCAATACCTCAAATTGTGCCAATCTAGGTTCCCACTACACGTAATAAACACAGAAAAAACTCGTGAGCATCTTCTTGTGCTCCCATTTGCCATTGAGGTAAAATAGCTAATGTAATCTTAAAAAAATACGACATCTACAATGATCATATTGCAAATGACTTACAGTTCATGACATTGTAAGACACAAACGTGGAAGGAGAAAAAGATGGTCCAGGATCTACAAGAACAACCACAAAAGCAGCTTTAACCTCACACAAAAAACAAGGAGATAGAAGGTTACACCCTAGCAATGATTAATAATGTTGATAAAAAATTATGTCTATTCTACATAAATATATATACCTGGTACTTTGACATGACTAATAATACCAGAATGAAAACTCCTGGTGCAAAACAGTGCTTGTAGAACAGAGTTTGCGAAACAAGTATTCCCCAGGTTATTTAATCCAATCGGAAACCCCAGCAGAGAAGTAGCCGGCAGAAGGCTAAGTAGAAAAGGTAAAAAGTTAAATTTTTGAAAGTAAGAAAAAAGAAAAGCAATTTGCCTTGCCCTGAGCTGGATTCGAACCAGTACCACGTCCACATCCTGCACCACTGAGCCACCACCATCCTGCTGCCTCAACCTCACTGATAGTCGTATCTATACTTAATTTCTACATTGTTATAAGGTAGTATACTGGGGTGAAGCCCCAGTATAGTATACAGGCGAAGCCTGTAAAAGTCCGTTGACGGATAGTGTACGGAATGGTAACAATCTCTCCCTAATGGCTAGTCTTATGGCCATGTGCCACCATTACTGTGTGTGTGGGTAGAGCATGGCTTAATTAAGCCACGCCTTAATTGCAGCCACACCTTACATTGCTGCAGCTAGCTAGCATGTAGCAGTGCAGCAAACATGCTGCAGATTCTTCTGTGTCTAAAAATACAAATCAATCTCTGTTAAAACTGTTATATACATATTGTGGTGAGGGTACGCACTTTAGTGCTCTCGTTTAGTCTGGTTTAGTAGTGGGTTATGATAGTTAAGTTACATGTATGACTCACACATGATGTCTGTGGCCTAACATGAGAAAATCAACCAATTGGCGGGTGTGACGAAGAACGAGTAATTATTACTATATGAAAGCTTGAAACTTGCTCTTTCCAATGGTGCTTGAATTGCCACAATCGGATCTAATGCTGCTTAGTTTCAAGCGCAAGCGTCATCTCCATTGCTATCATTTTAATGCAGCAAATTTGTACAAGAAATCATTTTTAATGTTTCCTTTTATGCCTGTGTAACACAGGGGCGTGGTCACCACGCCCAACACGTGCCTTCTCAAGATCATAAAGCTTCAGTGCCTCATTGCCTTCTGCGCAGTTCAAGGGCTAAACGGAACTACACAACCTTAAAAGTAACTTTACAATGACTTATAATGTT